CTGAATGAATGTTAGCTGTGTGCTCGAATGCGATAGCGACGCTGGTTGACCAAATGTTTGCACTTCGAAAGGCAGACATTTACCTCCATCCAACAAAAAAATTCCACCATTTTAGCAGCAAACTGAGGTGCAACTCAGTCCTGTCGTTTCTTTAAAAATATAGAACATATTTATTTGTGTTTCCCTTGAAACATTAACCTAATAATCACCCCCCCCAAAAAAAACAACAAGAGACTGATTCACAGGCAGCACAGAGACATTCAGAGTGTGTTTGTGTGTGGGTTGAGCGATGACCCACTGATGCACAGCGATAACAGCTGTTCATTCACACACCAGGACATCTGCAGTTAACGCAGGTTTCCTCACATCCAGCAGTGGTTTGAATCTTAAATCAGGGGTGTCACAGTCTTTGGTTCAGGGGCCACATACAGCCTGATTAGGTGTCAAGTGGGCCGGACCAGTACAATCATCACATAATTACCTATAAATAGCAATAAGTCTGTATTTTTCCCCTTTGTTTTCATGCAAAGAACACGTATAGTAGAAAATATTCATCAAACATCACGGACATGTTTGATGAAAATTTCAAAATTCATTAAGTGGGCCGGATTGAACCATCCTAGTGGGCCGATTTTGGCCCACGGGCCGCATGTTTGGCACCACTGCTTCGAGACATGAGCGGCTCAGAAGAGGCAGAGTTGATGGATGGATGGATGGATGGATGGATGGATGATACGGTGGATAAATGAATGCATGTTTGGATAGATGGTGAAAGCCCCTGTGGCCTGGGGGCTCCTCTTTTTGCACAGCGTGCTGTTCAACACGTACCATGGCTGTGTGATTGACAGCCAGGAATGCTGAGTGAGTATTTGAAGAGCAGGCGAGAAGGTGAAACGTGAAAATGAAGAATGCAGGCACGGAGGAGAGAAGATGAAGTGGAAGAGCAAGAACGGGCCCTTAAACGTTACCTAAAACAGGTACAACGTACAAAGCTAACCCAGCCCTGGGGTGAGACCCACAACCTATTTCATCTGGTCCACATGCAGCATTGAATTGTTGACCTGATAGTAGTCCTCATCTAGAATATAAAGATCTATTCCTGGTTACCAAATTCTAAGACAAAATTAGTTTCTTTTAGCTAATGATTGGCCCGAATTCTGAAAACCAGACAGAAGATATGGGTCTCAGTGAGTTTCTGCTACAGATCCAGTAAATATGTTTATATGTTTATAATATTATATTATGGGATGTCCAATAATATCGGTCGACCGATGTTAGCATAAATAGGTAATATCAGTAAGAAACGTAATCATTTTTTTTCTCCGATAATGAAAACCCAATAGTAATTCCTGCGTTAGCCCAGATGATGTGAGCTAAAAATGTGATATTAAAAGTGGACTACTGTCATTGTGACACTGCACACGATGAAATGCGTCCTCTGCCTTTAACCAAAACAAAGCATATATTTGTATCAGTTGATACCGAAAACGGAAATCAAGCGTTTGGACCGTTATCCTCTAAAATTCTACAAACTAGGATCAGTTTCTGATGCAAATCAGTAGAAAACAAACCTACTACATTTTTGATTCTTTGTTTTAAACAAACAGAAAAACCCCAACTGAAAACAGACCAGGGCTCTTGTGGCACACAGTTACCATGACTGTCCAGTTACAGTAACGTAGACTTACACATCGAACAACTACAGAGGAAAGCTAATCTCCAACGGGCTAACGGGTTAGCCATGAATGCAAATCCATAACAACAAGCTCGACGAGACTAACGACAGTAAAGTTGTCCAAGCGACTGAGTATAGGTGCTTGCCAAACACACACACACACAAACACACTGTAGTAGCAACCACCCACGGAGACTGTGTGTAACTCAATAAGTCAATAACTTTCCACACAGACCGCACAAACCAAAGGCTTTGTTCTGTCTCCTTGATGTCTCAATGACTACATGAAGGGCTGTTGTGGTAGAGGAGTGGGGGGGGACGGGGACGGGGACGGAGGTAAAAGGACTTCCTCTGTGAGTTGTAGCTGCTCCACTTCTGCTGTTATTTCAGGTTATAAGAACAGGCTAGCTGGCAGTATGTGGAGCAACGCTAGCTTAGTTAAGTCATTTAAACCAAGTACAAAGAAAATAAAACTGTAGTACAAAATGGTCACTTTCACCAGGACCAGAGTGGAAACTCTTGAGTGACTCAGTCTCAGTGAGTTTGACGTGTTTGACAATGTAACTGCGTGCGCGCGCGTGTGTGTGTGTGTGTGTGTAAGAAGCCCCTGGTTACAGGTCGACCCTCACATCCTTAGGGGAAACTTTCATTCTGCTGACGAATGGATTTCAGGAGTGGCAGCGATAACATGAGCCTGTGAACACACGCGTGCACCAACGGTGTGTGTTACGGTTACACACATAACACAAAACCATGTCTTTGTCTCCACAGGTCCACACTCTGTCGCTCTACGGGGGTATATCTGAAGTGTCAGCTGCCTCTTTTTTTTTTAATTTTTGATGATTGATGTGTTTTTCTACACGTTTATGAGAATCTTAAATTGTCTTTATTTTAATAATTTATTTGACTATTTACCCAATTGGCCCAATGTTTATTATCATTTTTTTGGGGACTAACTTCACGTTTCGGAACATAAGTAACAGTTTGGCTATTGGCCCAATGTTTATTATCATTTTTTTTGGGGACTAACTTCACGGAACATAAGTAACAGTTTGGCTTACATTTACTGCTACGGCAACTGTTTCTGTTTTATTCCTGGCTCGTTTTATCTCTTCTCAAAGCCCATTTTGGACGGATACTTAAACCGTCTGTCATCAGACGGAAATTCCACACAGTTATAGGGAAATTTGAATGTGTAGGTTTGCGAATATATTCCGATTTTTCTTACCGTTTTCATCCCCTCTCCCTCCATCTCGGGGCTGCTGGGTGCTGGAGCCCAAAGCATGCTGGGAGCAATGCAAACGGACAGATTGAAGGCGTTCATCTGGTTGTCGTGGGCGTTGCCCTGGATGCGGTGCAGGATGGCGATGACGTGACGCAGGAGGAGGAGGTTCTCACTGGGCAGCAGGTTCAGTAACCTGAGAGAGAGACAATAATGAACGGAACGTACCTTTACGTACGCTTTAGTACTAGACTTGAGTTATACTTTGCATACAGATAGAGACGTTGCTATAGATATATATAACTAAATATAAAAATAAATGATAGTGTATTTGAAGTGTGTTGTGAGAAAATTCAAACATACAAAAATGCATTTCTGACTACAGATTCCACAGGATTTCTTGCTGGAGCTATTGAATCGTTGCCTACCCGTATTTCCTAAGCAAAAGGAATTCAGTTTGTTGATTTTGGATTGAAAATATTACACACACACACACATACGCGCGCAGTCTTTTCCTTTCTCTCCAGACATAAACATTATGTAATTTGAATCAAAACAAAATATTGCCACACTACGAAGACGGGCTTCAACAACACAGATTTTTTTCTTCCTGATTTTTCCTTTAATTTGTCACTGGACTGCAGAGTGAATATCTGTGTAACTTACCGTGTTTGATTATTTTGCTTGGATTTCTGCAGGTTTTTCCAATAAAAATAAAAAAAGAGGGAGTGTGTGTGTGTGTTTACCTCTGGACACCCTGCGTCCTCTCCTCCACTTCCTCCGCCTCCATTACTTCCATCCACTGCTCGTACAAATTCACACACAACAGGTTTCCTGGGATGTTCCTCATAAAGTCCTGTCATCGGAAAAAAAACAAAAAAAAAAAAAAAAAAAACAGGTATAGGGTGAGGATTAAAAGTAAGTATTTTTTTTGAAAAGTTCAGTAAAGTATGTAAGGATGTCTCTGTGAAAACCAGAGTGTGTGTGTGAGTGTGTGTGTGTGTGTGTACCTTGAGGACAGCAGCAATGATGAACACAGACTGGTGTGAGATCTCGGGATCCTCGGCCCCACTGTCCAGTCGGTCTCTGAGCTCCCTGCAGGCTTTAGCCCCGGCCGACCGCCTGAAGACGCCCTTGGTGTACGGACCCTCCAGATACAGGAAGACCAACATGTCCTAGAAATATGTAGAATATTAGAATCATTCAACCCTTTCTCCAGCAAGAATAAGTGGTAAACAACAGCTGAATGAGAACCAGTTTGACTTCCTTGTCCTCAGAGATCGTTGATCTGCTGAAGCCTTTATAAGTAAAGGTAACAAATGCTATTACACACAAATACATCCAGCAGCTGTTCAGCCACTTTTATTCATATTAGTCAATTTTAATGTTTTACCTCGACAATATAAGCTGTGTATTTATGAGGGATGTCCGATAATATTGGCCTGATCTTAGCATAATGATGTAAAATCTGTAAGAATATACTTTTTAATAAATGAGAACCTGATGCTTTTTGTTTCGCCAAATATTCTGGAGTTGCTTGTGGAGTTGCTCCAGTGGGGCATCACAATAAAAGTAATGTGTTCGCCCGACCGGAGAAATGTGATGTTGGGGGGAAAAACGGCAAACAAGGTCAACAGTAAATCAGCAGCTATACCAGGCGTGGGCAAATCTTTTTTGACTTGCAGGCCACAATTGGTCCTAAAATTTAATGGGGGGGGGTCAGACTATAGGGAAAACGTAGGCATTGCAGGGAAAAGGCAAAACGTGTAATCACAATATGCTACACCATCTATAGGGAAAACGTACTGTTTGGCGGGCCAGATTACGAAGCTGAATGGGCCGTATCTGGCCCCCGGACCTTAGTTTGCCCATGCCTGAGCTATACCGTAAAGTCAGAGTCTTAAAATGGAAACGTTCTCTGTGACGAAGGTTGGATTTTTCTGTCGTTGTTTTGGATCAAAAATATAGTCTAACTGTGTTTAATGATTAGAAGGGAGATGTCAGAGTTTCATTATTGACCAAAGGGCTCCTGCTTCCTCTGCCCCACTGTTCCCTCTGTGACCTCTAACCTTCCTGTAACCCCTCCCCCAGACAGGGTCCTGACCCTGGTAACGTACGACCCCCAGCTGGACTCACCATGATAGGTTTGGGCAGGCCGTGCTCCGCAGAGCAGAGGAAGCTCAGCGGACGGCCGAAGAGTTGTCCCTGGGTGTGGGACAGCGTCGTCGGGGACAGAGGCAGGCCGTCCAGCTGTGAGCTGGAGCCTCTCCAGAAGGGCCAGTTAATCAGAGACCTCTTTCTCTTGAAGGTCTTCTGCTGACCATGTTCTGCAGAGACACAGTAGAAGAGGAGGTTGGAACTGAAGTTTGTGGTATGCACCGATGTGTGTGCGTGTGAGAGAGAGTTTGTGTACTCTCCGCGGCGCCCCGTCACCATGTCGACCTGTCGTGTTTACCCATCAGTCTGTAGGTTTTTCCCGCACGTTCCCGGTGATGTAACAGCTCAGCGTGTTCTCGCTCTTATGAAACTGCATACTGAGCGTGCGACGGAGTGCACCTTAATTAAAACCAACCACAAACATTTACGCTCTGAGGATAAACTCAACATGATCAACTGTCCACACTGGGTCACGCCGAGGACTAATGGACGATAACCAGCCCGAGGGACGGAGCAAAACACTCCTTGACTTTTCTAATAAAATACACAACCGCCTTCATCTATTAAATACTTTCTAATGTTTAATTCCAGGCTGAAAAACCAAGATATCAAAATTTAAAAAATGCAACTTTTAGCTAAAGTGGACAGAGTAAACCAGGAGCTAAACTGACATTTGTTGAGTTTCTCTGTGGAATTCTGGGATAAGAAAAAGCTCATGTTTGCTAATGTTATAGCTACTTAATACTGAGTTCATCAAACATTGACCAACAGTTGAGACTAGAAGTCTTTAGTTTATACCGGGAGTTATTATTGGCTAACAATTACGTACTGGTTTTTTGCCGTATTTTGAGTCCAATTTAAATTATTCCGGCAAACTTTAACCGATACGCGGTACGCCTGTATTATAGTTTTCTCTCTCTATTAATATTTGAGCGACGTGGCACTCGCTTTAAAAGAACTTCGGCTACATTCTAAGGACATTTTGCTTTAAGCTCATGTTGATAAAGTCACAGTCATGTGATTTAACGCAGGACAGCTCCTGTTTTTTTTTTTTTTCTCCCTTCTCTCGGCTGGAGTTAGTTTCCGTGAGGATTAACTTTAACACTAAATAGTCGCTGTGGTTTTTTAACACACACACACACACACACATCACCATGCAGTTTCATAACAGGTCATGTTATGTCTGAGGTAAAGCAGACAACAGGATGAACACATACCACGGCAGGTACATGCGGTAACTTCGACTAATGAGCACACCACAGGACACATCGTGTCCTCACAACATTCAAAGGATCTAATACTACGTCTACGCTAAAGGTTAGAAATGAGCACAGAGATAGAGCAGCTAGCGATACTCCAAAAGTGGTACGAAAACCAAATTTGTCTATAGCTAAAAGCTAGCCCGGAGGATAGAAAGCTAAAAGTTAACGAAGACAAATCTAGAAAGGTTTCAATGTTAGGATGAAATTCCCATGGAGATAATCCAGAGTGTTTAATGGCAACGTTTCAACGGGTCGCAAATAAAAGTTAATTTAAGATTTGCTACAAACCTTTTTTTTATTTATGAGAGAGCAATAAAGTTTGGATTTAAAACCTTGGAGCAGCAGATGTATTTATTTTGGACGCTCAGTTAGGAGCAGGGTTGAGTGAAAATGACTGCGATGTTATTAGGTTAAAGAGAAATCAGCAGGTTAATGGATTATGAAAACAACGGCAGAAATATGTTGGATCACAGCGACTCCAAAATACCTGCGTGAACCACTGACATCTGTAAATTTGTACCTACAGTAAATCCCTCACCGAGCGCCGGCGCTAACATTTTTAATGGCAGCGGCTTTGATTTGCCAACAGTCCTGAAACGATAACATTGATTTCTATTACACAATCGTGATTTACACGTGAGGGTGGAGTCCTCCGAACAAACAAGAGATTCTTCAGTAGGGCGGAGGACCTGTCAGTCCAAAATTGCATCCAAGTCATACTTCGCATACAATCCGTGTATTTTTTTTTTTTTTTAATGTTTTAAAAGATCTTCCATGGTGTCGTGCCCAGACACACTGTGGAACAATGTTTAGCAGTAACAGAGACGGCGGCAGGTTCTGGAACGTCTCAGCAGGTTTTGCCACCAGTGAAACAACACGACCTCGCTGTGTGCATCAGGAATTACATCATTTGAACAAGAGGATGGAGGAGGGCAGAAAGGAACCAGAAGAACGCTCTGTGCCCCGTAAAATCAAACACTGACGAGATGCAGCTCATATCTACACAGTTAATCACTGAGTAGAAAAAGCAAAAAAAAAAGTATCTGTTGTGAAAAGGTTTGGGGTCTAAGACCTAACAATGATATGGGGCCGTCATCCATGAGGTCCATCACCCACCAGTACGACCATGTGGTCTAGTGTTGAACTGAATACCGGACTTAGCCTAACCACTTCACCGCCATCCATTTTCATCCGCTTATCCGTTACTGGGTCGTGGGGGGCAGCTCCGTACCAACCCTGAACCTTCCTGCGGTTGGTGAGTCCACTGGAAGGTACTAACCGCCCTAACCGGGATTCAATCTTGCCCAGGAGGTGAACCCTGGGACATTGCCTCTGGACCAAAGCGCCTCCTATATCTAGGCAATTTCTAAACAATTTGGTTATTTGTTCCTACAGCGCGACGTAACTCAATTTTCAGAATTCACATACTGTCCATAAGTCCACATGTCACTCAGCTACGCTAACACAGCGGTAACATCATAATCTAGGACACGGAGGAGTTTGACTTATGCCTGGGAGCCATAACGAAGGGCAAAAAGTTCCCCAAGAAAAAAACGACAACCGATGAATGTTAGCGACATTCGTCCGCTCCGCTCACAAACAAGTTTGCACAGAAAGTAGCTGCTGAGTTTCAACACCAAACATCGGAATGTCTTAATGAATTTATACGAGATGGCGAGGTAACCAGGACGTCGTAAACCGAGGACCCGCAGTAATCTGAAGTGTAAAATCGTTCATAAGCTACAATTTTGAATTGTGAAGGCCTCTGGGACTGAGGCTCTGTAAGTAGGCCTGAGCATGGACCTCAAGATTTTTGGTATTCAGGAAATAAAGGAACCTCTGCTCGCTTCATTAGCTGTTTGGTTTTGGGTGTTAACCCTCGGGCCTTTGTGGCGGCTGGATGTTGCGTAAGACGCTGTTGTGCTAGAGGCAAAAGAATCTGAGGCAAAACTTGTGGTTAGAAAAGTGGAGCCTCCTCGTTCTGGAATCACACACACACTGATATTTTCTCCTCAATTTGTTTCCCCTCCTAAAGCCATGTCCCGCTCCTTTCTATTACTCCGTCCTCTGCCTCAGTCTGTCCCCTCTGTCAAACCCTGTCTCTCTTTCCATCTGTTATTTCTTTTTCCTTCACCTCCGCTGACCTTCAGACTCACCGCAGGGCTGCGTCGCCTCTTTTTTCCTCTTCTCACACTCGTCCGTCCCTGCTGGGGCTTTCTGGCTCTTTCATACAATAGATGTCTCTATTTTGATACAGTGTCTGTCCCAACCTCTGCCGTAACCCCTCTATCCGCTCACATCTCCGTTCCCACCATTCTCCGTGTCACCTTCTCCCCATCCATTCATCCTGACAAAACCAAACACTAACAACGCAGCGAGGAAATCGTTTGATTGAAAGTGAAACAGTTGATGAGGAAGCTTTTTTTTTTGTTCTGCATCAACACTTCTGCATCCTCAAACTTCCTCCTGTGGTTTCAGATAAAATTGGGGTCAGATCTTTATGCTGGCATTGAAAAAACAAAACAAAAAAACAACAACAACACGCCGGGATTGGCTGTTGATCCCGACCAAAACATTTTTTCGCTTTAGCTCAACCGCTAAAATACATGTCTGATTCCTGTCGAATTTTCTCTTGGTCCAAATAAAGTCTGTCGGCCACACTCACTGATATTTCTTTGTCTTTGAGAAGAAAAAGAAGGAGGAATCATGTAGAACAATAAACCAGTATCATACGAGCGAAACAAAAACAATTTCAGAATCAAAAGTTTGAGACAACTAGTCACAAGGTTCCCACTTAGGGGGACAATTTAGGAAAGGAACCAAACACAACAGAAGGACAAAAAAAAGAAGGAAGTTAGGCAAAGAAGTTACATAAATGCTAGCCAACTAACAGCTAGCAGTTAGCTTAGTTAACTTTCTGGCAGAGGGGGAATGACCCCGTCATGACCTCTTAACACCAAAGTTTGTGTACCTAGGAACTCTGCTTACCCTTCAATACGATAGTTTATGGTATGACATGCAGGAATTTGTTTCCTACCTTCACTATTTGTTTATGTAAATGTTTCCCTGACCATGAGTTCCTTCCGTATCCATGAGCTAATATCAAACATTTTCTCTACATATTTTGGATACGTTTTATAATCCTGAACTTAGTGTGTCTTAGCTGAACCTGTTGACGGATTCACCTTTGTCCTGTTCCATGTCTCCTAATGAAAACCTAATGTTTCCTTGACTGTCAAAACCTCATCACACATTAAAAAAAAAAAAGCATTCTGTTTGACTGTCTTACCGAAGAGTTGAGCCATCCCTGGAACTACTTTGTTGGGTTTGAGGATGAACTGGCACTGGGTGTCGGGCGGCAGACACTGGTCTAGCAGCAGAACCTCTGGGCAGTCCATGGGACTCTGTGGGTCTAACCCAACTCCTCCTTGGCCTCCACCGCCGTTACCGCCGTCCCGAATGTGACTCATCTTGATGCTGAAGGGAAACTCGTGGCCTGAATGAGAAGGTTGGATTCAGAGGGTTTGGGGTTACTCTGATCTGTGAGATTACAACACGGAATTAGCGCAGAGGCGGCCTCTTAGCGATTTCATGTGGATTTTAATGAACAGAAACTATCACAACAAAACAAGAGTGCGTGACCGCTGTGACAACACTAATTGAAACGCTACCAGATGCGAAGACTGGTGTTGTACCCTCGAGCGTGGAACCCCCCACTGTGAACAATCTCTGCTCCACTTTCCGAAAAAAAAGAAACAACTTCTAAACTTCAAATGATGCATATGAATTATCTCATTAGAGGCGTATATGGTCTTGTTCTGAATTCCGTACATTTTCTGCATTTTAAAATATTTTTTTGTTGGCTGTCGTTGTGGAGATTTCACTCGGGAATGTCTGGAAGAGTAACCTCAGAGCCCGAGGCGGAAAGTGAACGTACGTGATTTATAACCTGAGACTGTGACACGGAGCCAGTACATGGTGTTCAAGTGAAACTGAATTATTGTGGCAATTTGATTAAAACTACATTTTAATAGGCAATATTGAAGTGAAGTACTAGGAATAGTACTTCTGAACTTCTGGACCTCTGGACCTGGACTCTCCCTTTTTTTCTCCATGTCCTCCTTTGTGAATTGTCTTGCATTAATAACGTTGGATAAAATCAGGGGTCTGAGAGCTACTCCAAGGATACTCGTTGGATAAGATCAGGGGTCTGAGAGCTACAAGGATACTCAGTAATACGAAGAGCTACTTGTTTTTAATACATACTTCCTGAACATTGTAATAATAATCAGTTCTGGGACACACAATAGTAGACGCTGTTCTTACCATCGTCATTGCACATATTTGAATATCATTACAAGTGGAACTGATTCAAAAAGGACAGTTTTTGACCCTCTTGTTGATTAGCTTTATTTTAAGAACCTACCCCATGGGCACCTTAGGTAGTCCACAGGGGCTACCAGGTGCACCACGTTGGTGACCCCTGATCTAGAGACTCCTGTAGTGTGTCTTTTTATGACAATCTCCAGGTAAAAAAACTAACTCGATTCCATCTTTCCCTCCAGCTTGGGCTTAGCCACGTTATACTGTTTCCCCTACAAAGCCTGCACGAACATCCTGTACTTTTCTGCCACTCCCTACTGATCCTAAATGACGTCATTTTAAATATTTTTTTTGTAAATAAAAAAGCTGATATTTAAGCTCACCTATTAAAGGATATGGCGGGTCATCCTTACTGGAGCTCACCCACAAGCGATGGTCTTTAACACAGCCCTGAACAGAAAAGAAAAAACAGATACTAAACTTTAGAAATCACTTCAATATCAAATGCAGTATATCCTGATACAGTTATGCAACCAAAATAGCTGGTAACATATTTAAAAGGCCTGATACAGTTATGCAACCAAAATAGCGTATTTAAAAGTCTTCTCTACTCAATGACTCAATACTATATAAACTTTCTTAATCCTCAGAGAAGGTTTTCTGTCATTAGATGCAGATGTTTAACTTGAGTCCGTTTCTCCAATCCAGAGCGAGCGGCTCCAGCTGAGGCCACTTCTTCATATCGCTGCTGCGCCTGCAGCTCTTTTCCACATCACATCATAGTAAAACAACTGGATGTGATCAGCATTAGAGACGGATCATTGGTTACTCACTGAAATGCCAAACTGCAGCAGAGCCATGCGAATGACATCAGTGGTGGTGTCCATGTTGTTCACCGCCAGCGTCTTGGCCTGGTTTGAGAAAGTTGGGATGTTTAATGTCGTTAATAAGTTTGCAGAAATCCTTAATGATCCCCACAGGGAGAGATTAGATTCATCACATCATATTTGTTTCTGTGCTGGATGAAGCGATACATACGTATGCACAGTTCCCAATATCCTTGGCAAATATCTTGAGGGGAATTGTCTTGGGTTCGTCTCTCTCTTTTCCCTCAGCTAAACGACTGAATGTTGAAGGAAAGAGGAAATGAGACATTGGGTTTTAGTCAAAATCCAAACAATAAGAGAAACTCAAATGATAATCAATACCGTGTTAAAAACCGACAAAAGAAAAGAAAAATACCTGAAGGATAGCTATTAAAAAGTAGTATTTAACTACGAATTAGCAGCAAAATTGCTTTAGCATTTAGCATTAGGGTCTTTAAGTCAACGCTAGAGACACATGTTAGCGTTAGCCGTACATCCAGGACAGTTCACCAGTGCCTCTCTGTCAAAACAGTCGGAGACATAAACTACTTATGGAATATTTAGATTAGTCATAATTAACCTAAACCCCAGATGACACACAACAAAGAGCTAAAACGTAGCTACAAAGAAATGCTACATAAACTATATCAATTTAAGCTAACGCCAGACAGTTACAAAACCGTCTGGCCCATAAGCCTGGAGGTGTGGTAAAAATCAACTAATTAAAATCCAAGTAGTTTCACTTTTTTTTTTTTACCTTTTGATGAGCGTTAGCCATTTCTCCTTAATCTCCTTGGAGCTAAAGAAGAGCAAGAAAAAAAGACAGGGATAAATCATCACATACAGCGTGTATGTTTATTTTTTACACTTATGTCAGTTTAACTAGGTACAAGCCGCAGACTTGGCCCCAGGCGTCAGATTTCTACTGCCGGAATCTGACAGATGGGAATTTGTATGCACAGTAATTGGCGCAGGTGCAATTATAGATCACAGCAATAAGTATATATATATATACGACTGTGTTTGCATGTTGGCTCAAGCGCGGCTATTAACTGATGATGGATGAGTACATTTCACGACTAGGAACTGCTTGAAGCCTGAGCGCTGGAATATTTGCTTTGCTCTTGGCTTCCACAGTGAGTCCCCTACTGTGATGTACATCTGCAGACCAGGACATGGTGTGTCCTCTGATGTCAGCACGAGTCGCTCATAAAGCTCGAGATTAAAATATTAAATAACTTGCACACATGCAGCTGAACACAATATGGTTATATAAGAGTTAGTAAGGGACACTGGAAGACCAATTACTGGTTTAAATCGAATAATCCTGGGAAAACAATGAGTCATTCTGCAGGGATTAGTCTTTTTCAACATGTAATAACGCACTATTTGGTACCAAAGGAAACCGTTTATTGAGAAATTACAAAGAGCCACGAAAACATTCCGTCTGTCACATTCGATAAACTGCTCTGAAAACGATTCAGATATCTGTTCTTTTATTTATTACCTGAAGGTGGCGACACAGTTGCAGGTGGGCCAGCCTATGACGAAGCTCCTCTCGGGGTTGTTGGTTCCTTCGCAGACCTCGTCCAGACAGTTTGCCATCCACATCTCACAAACTCGAACCTGGGCCTTTCCTTTAAAGTGAGTCGGTGACCTGCAGGGAGAGAAAAACGCAGCGGTTGAATTCCTGATTATGACACGGAAATCACTACATAGAGGCTGACGGGATGGGGAGGTTTATTAAAATTATTTTAACATAGAAGAAAAGTGGGACCCAAGTCTAATACCACATTGGTAGTTTGAGTTCCAAACTAAGTTTCAGATATGTTTTTTTTTTTACTTCTTTCATAGAAAACATGATTTTACTTTGGTATGTCGACATTGTGGAAATGTTCATTGGCTTTGGGACAATTGTTTTAGTTTTTTGGTTTCACTTTTAATATTAGTGATGAATCGATTAAAACGTAAAACAATCAAAAAGTGACTTATGATATGCATAAGACTGGAGGATTTAGAGAAATAAAACAAAAATATATAAGTCAAAAACACACATATACATAAACATAAACACAATATAAATAAAATGGCATATAGATTGCTGCATATAAACACTGACAGATTTGTCATTCACTGAACATTTTAGCTATATACATAAACATAAACACAATATAAATAAAATGGCATATAGATTGCTGCATATAAACACTGACAGATTTGTCATTCACTGAACATTTTAGCTACAACATGCACTTAGATTAATGAAATCAATCTCAATTATTTTTTAATATGTTTTTCTTTATCTCTGACCCTTAAATCTTCTACCTCCAAGTGAAGGTGAAGATTAAGATCCAATTAACTTTCAGCTGATTAACACGAAGCTCAACCATATAGCGACCTTTTTAATATGCAAATTCAAAGTCTGGTGTTTTTTAGAAGTTAAAACATAAATATTTGGTAAATATATATTTAAAAAAAATATCCAAATGCACACATGGAATACACACGTGCCTCTGTACACATTCCTCTAACTTACCCTTTCATCAACCACAATATAATAAAACCAATGATAGGTTATGGTCGGAGCTCGAAGGGTCAGCTCCACCCCGTAGCTTTTGAGACCGACCGCAGAAGTCTCGCCGTGTCTGCACATACATGTAGGAGCGTGCATGTAGGGCAAACACATGAGGACGCAGGCCTGAGATTTGTTTATCTGTGCATTTGGTCCACGAAAGCGTAAAAAAAAAAAAAAAAAGAATTCCAGAGATTCTATTTTTAAGTGCATATTCTGTGGGCGTGGAGGCCACAAAATGCTGCAGACCCAAGTCCGGCCATCGTGGCTTTGATCTGAGCCAGGCTTCATATGGATTTAATTGGCTGGAAAATAATTATATAGTGGAGAGGAATGAGGGAGGGGGAAGTGAAAGAAGCAGCAAAAGGAGAAGATGTTGCAGCCAGAGGGGAGTTTTCAGTCTTCATTATATCATTGTATTTTTTTAACCGATGTTGGTGAAACCCGAAGACCTCTTTTGGTTTCTAAAATTTGTCTCACTTTGACTGTTTTTTTTTCCCTTCCCCTTTTGTTCCTTGTTTACGTCTGGCCTTCCCTTTTTCCTCCATCGCCACAAGAATTCTCAGACTGTCATTTCACACGACATGCACGGGGACGCTTACTTGGCCTTGGCGACGAGCAGCGTGTCCGAGAAAATGAAGAGGTGTCTCTCCTGCGTCTGCAGGCCCGTCTTCAGCTGCGCCTGGGCGTGGCCCAGGAACAGGCGGCCTGGACACTCGGCCAGGAAACTTTGGACCAGGGGACAGGACTCCGGGCTGACTGGCGTCAGGCAGCTTTCCCTGGAGGGAAGAACACAAAGGAACACACACACAAAAAGACAAACAAAGTCAAGTTTTTCAAAGATATCCCCAGAGAAGGTGAATTCTGTGGTTTGGATGTGGCTGATCAACAGGTTTTGGACCAAAGCTTTGTCTTTAACTGGACTCCAAAAACCTTCTCGCTCCGTAATTACTGCCAAACTACCTTCGAGCAAAGCACCGACGTAGCTAATTGTGTAAAACCAGTTGCCAGAAGAGTAAAAGAGGAGAACTTGTGTGTTTTATTCCAGTGCTTTTATAGAGCTACTTCTAAATGAAGGGATTTTCCAAACTCATAAAATGTGTACTGTATAACAGTGAGATGTGGACCCCTGAGGGTCACCGAGGTCCTACTGGACATTGGACCATTAATGGTAAACTACAGATCGGACGTTTGTTCGGACAGTTGCACCTAACATAGTGCAGATGAAGAAAGTGCACAAGGCACGATGCAAAAATACGTCAATATACAGATCTTTAAGTTGATAGCAACACACTTTGCACAGAAAAATAGTTTCCTGGATATTTGGGGTCATTGTGAAAAGCAGAGTATCATCTGCATAGAAAAGCACCAATAAAAATGCTGCAAATGAGTGTAAAATAGGAGCTAAACAGAACAGTATGACATAATGTTACGTTTTATGGTACAATAATAGCAGCTCAATCATATGGTCTTACTATTAAACTTCAACTGTAGCTCGAATCCATGTGCGAACGTACCAAACGTTGTGCAACCCTGACAACGACACAGTAACACAGATGTAACTAAAACACATGAGGCTCATTTTCTCTCTTCTCTTCCAAACTTAAAAAAAAAAAAAGTGCTGTGACATTCCAGTCATACTCTCAACATGAAATACAGACATCATTATTTCCCAGTATTTTTCTTCCCTGATTCTTAACAGCTGCAGCCACACACACACTTAACGAAGCGCAGTCAATAAAAATCATTGGACTTTTGGGCATTTGTTGCGAAGATTTGGCTACGAATCACGCCTTTCGTTGCATAATTGTAGCTGAAAATCTGCGGAGAATTCACGAAATCTGTCGTATAGTGTTTGATGACTCCATTAAAACAAAACAGTGCAGGGAGAACAAAAGCTTCATCACTTGTTTTTAAAGGGAATTTAGTGTCATTTAAAAAAAAAAAAATCACCACTTCTGTATCTAATTGTTTTGTCTTTATTTTCTTTCTCATTAAATGTTGATGTTCTTAGAAAAAGACTTGCCTGGTTTAAATAAAGAAAAAAAATTATCTATCTTCTGCACAGAGGAAGAGGAAATAGTTAGAGAGCTCCATCCTTTCCTGTTTACTCTCTGCTTTAAGATTCAATCTTTTCATACACACATCTCAACTTGTTTTTATATTTCACATGCACGCCATAGTTTGCTCTGTCACGCACGTGTCGTGCCCACCTCTTAGAATGGTTTTTATTTCCCAAATTAAGATGCACAGATTTTGAAGTAACATCTAGACATCACTTTTTATATTTTTATCAAAGATGAAATAAAACAATATGTCTCAAATAACCCAACGACTGCTGCTGGTTTTTCCTCCAATAATGAAAACCTGATAATGCAATGCCTGGGTGTTGCCCAGATGATGGTCTAAAATAGTTTTGAAAATTTAAAATGAAACTATTATTTGTATTGTACGCCTTCGGAAACCACGGAAGAGGTGCCCCAAGAAATGGCACCACCCTCTGAAGAGATGTCAAATCAATCATCGGCTGCGCAGTAAAAGTCATCATCACCTTCCTCTTCATCATTTTACTGCGCATGAATATGGTGTCTCTACTTCGTGGAAATTCAGTTCTCGCGGCAGGCCTTGGAACCTGTCTACTGCAATAAACGAGGGACCGCTATACAAATAAGACAGAAAAGAAAACTCCCAGCTAATCAGTAAATAAGCTAAGCTAATTTGATGGTACGATCAAGTTAATAACGAATTTGCTTAAAATGTTCGGCCACAGATTGGCCAAAGTGATGTAACAAAGTTTGCTATGAAATAGCAAAGTCATTTCAAATGCTAGCAAGCTTTTGTTTCAGCGATTGATCACTGCCATTGTTCTGTTGTTATCAGTGAGTCTGGTTCCAGGCTCCAACATCTATAAGTTTTAATCATAAACAGTGATCCAGCCCTGAACCCTTTAACAAACTCCATTGTAGAAAAAAAAAAAGGAAAACACTCAAACAAGAACAGTCCAACTCTTGCTTCTCAAATTCTGTCCAGCTCCATTGTGTAACTCGTTAGTTACATAATTATTAACAAAGACCAAGCGACCGCTCTGGACCGCTTCCCTTTTTCTTCTTTTTAAAAAAATAAATCAAAATACCGCTGACTGAATTCAATTAAATCCCTGAATGTGGCCAATTAGTCTCTAAGGCTCACATGGAATGGAGGGGCAGGGAAAAGGTCAGATGAAGTTAAGAACATCCTTTATACTCGTTTTTTTTTTTTTTTTAATCTACTGTATCAAAAAATGGCAGCCACTCATTGCCTTCTGCAGATACAGTCCTGGCTCATTGCAAAACACTCGACTATTGTTCCCTGATCCCCAGAAAATACTTTCCATGTGGTGCAGCGTGAAATTTTACCCCCTCTTTGAAAAAACATTTGCATAACAGTCTGAGTCTCTCCTAAATCAAACATTTCTTCTCCTGACTAGAACACAACACGTACATCTGTGGCCTCCACTCCTCCAGCTCAAGTTTACCCTCCTTCCCAATCACCTACAGTGTTTGTCTCCAAACGAGAACTAATTTCTTCTTATATTTACCAAGCAGTAATGAGTACCAGTTTTATTACCAGTACATTCAGTACTGATTTATTTCATCTTTATTCGAGGCGTCTCAGCCAGTAACACAACAGTAACTTTGTTGTTCTTCATCATTATACCTCAGTCCAAAATGGAGTATCTGCCAAATAAGGGAGCTGGTTCGCTACAGTCGCTGTCATTCAGATTAACTTATCAACTTATCAACCACAGGTATTATCAAGACTTAACATAAATATTAGGTATACTCATACTCCTACTCCAACACAATACTCCGTGACGAGCTTAGTGTTGAATACGCTAATGTTTCTTCTCGATTTCATATCAACGTGGATAGCTTTGCGCTAGTGGTGCCACTCAGCAGCGCGCATGAGAGGCCCAACGCGCAAAACACCGCACGAGGTGCCCAGCCACTAACCCAGCAGAACCCCAGTTCTTGCGCATCTTGTGTCCGAACAGGTGGCTAGCGTAACTCCAACGTTGTTCGCGTGTCAACAATTATCAAGCGCAAAGGTAAATTCTACAGCAAAATGAGTTTTATTTTGCGATTTGAACTGATTTTTACTAGAATTACTGTCATGTTTATTTCCTTCCTGTATTTTTTATCACACATAAAGCAATTAAAAAAACGAAGTGGATTTACATTAATTGCAATGGAAAAATTGGTTCAGGTCATGAACTGTTTGGGTCGTGAAGAGAGTTATATATATATATATCAGTTTAAATAATATTTGTTTAATGCAGAAATGTTTGTTCCCTTTTGGATTTAAATAGTTTAAATAGCTCAGTGTCCACTGCATGTCATCTTGTTTTCCACAGAGCTGTAGCACTTACGTAACGCTGCCTTCCAGTTCATTGCATATGTACTGAAACTCAACCTGAAGAAGTACAGGTGACAGTACTCAGTATCGGTGAGTACACAAACAGGAACATGTTTTTCTAATATCAGTTTTGAAAAAATGGAAACGGAACAACCCTGGTAACAATGGCTTATTGTGATATGAAAACAAAAAAAAAGGTTATTTGTAGTCACGTAAATGTTTAGTTAGGCTTTTTCATGCTCACACACACACACACAGACCAATGAACCTTGCTCTAAAGACCCCTTTTACATGTCGTTGCCCCCCAGAATAGAGAACACCTTCCGTATTCACCACACATCGCCAGCCTCCTGAATGTCAGATTGACAGCTGCGCCGCCGTCCTTTGACTCTGACCGACCAGCAGCTAACGGCTTCATTGTACGTCGTGTGAAGTTGATAAATTGAGAAGTCAGCTCACCAGCGCATACATGGCAGACCTTTGTTTGGGCTTGACTTTCTGCACAACACAATACAAGACCGACACTTACAATGATGCATACTAATGTCCCCGTGTCCTGGTACTGATAACTGAGGGGGGCGCCAGACTAAAGGAAGACTCATTTTCAGTACAAATTAGGACATGAAGTGAAATTAGGACATGAAGTAGGACATTTCTTAATGGATTCCAAGGGTTTTCTCAAAACTCTATAGTCACATTGTATTTGCTAGTAGAAAGGGGAAGTCATTTTTTGCCTGTACCCTCACTCTGCACTGTAGTCAATGCTTTAGAAGCACTATATAGCATGTATTTACTTTACATGAGAACATGTATTTTGTCATATTTAGGAAGGATGGATGGGTGAGCAGATTGGTTGAATGGATGGATGGATGGATGGATGGATGGATGGATGGATGGATAGATAGAAAGAAAGGTTTAAGCCAAATACAGACAGATTACTGAAGATGATCCCAACTCGCATTACAGAGAATTCAAAGTGATCCCAACTCATAATTCACAGGTGCAAAGAGAACACTCTGAACACGGTTGAAAGGTTTTCTTCCTGCAGTACAAAGAAACATTTGCATGTTGTGTCACTACACTCATTTTGCATTAAAAACGCGGGTCCTTTGTGATGCAAATGTTTCCCCCGTAAGACTTTCTATGGAAGAGGAAACACGTTAGGCAGCATTTTTATGACAAAGGCTCTGTGGACTTCAAAGCCTGTGGACAGTTTGGTCTAGTAAGGTTTAGGATCAAATGAAGAGAATCAGGACTTTAATTATCGGCTGTCTACCTCTGACTCATCCCACCCCTCACTTCAACGGCTGTTATATCTACCAAGTGTATGTCCATTGCCACACATCCTTGAAACCTAACGGTCCTGCTTTAAACCAGTGTTTCCCAAATTATTTTTCTTCAGTGCCCCCTGTTGGTCAACACGTTCACAGCTTTAACGTTACAACTAGCCTTTAATTTTCCATCCAGGAACCATGACTACCAAACTAGGAAAACATTATTCCACATTGATATTCTGCTCAGGAAAACATTATTCCACATTGATATTCGGTTGATGTCCAAATGTCATGAGAAATCGTGCTTGTTTACAAAAATCTTGATATAAACATTAGGAGAGACAGAACAGCCAGCATATGTTGTTAGGTTACCTACCCCGACTTTAACAACGCATGTCTCTGATCTGAGGAATGAAACCCAGAATTAAAGCATGAAACATCACCTCGGGTGTCACACAGTCCTTATGTGATCTGATGAGCTGACTGCAGGCAGTTATGGCACAGAAAGAAAAAAAATTATATAACCCCGTCCATCTGTTCAGCTTTATAAATAACCCCGCTTTAACATTTTGTTCCACTGATTCGTGTCACATGCAAAATGTGATTCCCCACATTTTTAATGGCTTTAATTCGGTGCCAAATATACTTAAAGCCGAGACCGGCAGATGAAGCGGTGATTTACTGAGGATTTGGTGTGTGTTTGTGTGCGAGAACAACCGTGCCTGGAGGTTTTCGGTTGTGTCATTTGTACCGTACATGTTCCTGTTTCAGCGGTTGTGACACAGTGAGTCTGATCCCATTGTTTCAAACACAAGCTGTTCAGGCGGACCAAAAGCAAGGCCTCAGTGGCAGGTCAAAAAAAAGAAATCATTAATTTGGCATTAACACACCTGCACTGTTTCCATGATCTAATAATCCACACGAGCTGCAGTAGAACTGAATCTAAATAACTTCTGTCTGCGTGCCGGGTTTCATTTGTTTCATTCATCCATTTTTGCATGAGATCTTAGGCCATGAAAAGGAGATGCTGTACGGCAGGTCAGAAGTTCACAGACATTGTCAAAATCAGCATTGGTAGAACTAAAGGTTTTCCCTAATTTAAGTTTAATAAATAAATAATTAGCTAGAAAAATAATTACATTGAAAATTATATAAAAAAACCCAACTGTCAGAATATATTAAAATAGCTTAAAGCAAAGCCTGGAAAGTCAATTGTTATCCCAACGTCAAATGAATCCACAGAGTAATCCTTCAAGTAGCTGACTCAGGTCATAAATATATAGTAAATATACCTTTAAGCTAAAAGCCTGTGTTGATGGAAGCTACTACAATTAGCCCACATACGTATATCTAAGTCATCATCAAAGGTCAGTAGCATTTAAAATTCCAATGAAATGAATTAAAACGTAACTGTAACAATGCTAACGTTTTGAACTTTTTTTTTACTAAATTTAAGCTAACACCATTGTCCCAAAGGCACTTACATAGATCCAAACACTTAACAAACAAGAAGATTAGTTTAGCTCACGTTGCGTAGAAAGTATTTACTGCTGGACAACCTGCTCGTGTTCAGTGAGAAGGACCCAGACACCGCGGTTTACGCGAACAAAGATACCACTGGTGGTTCTGCAACGACCATGAGATGTGAGCGCTGCCAAGTTTTCTTTGGCAGAGCTCACATCTCTATTAAAATTGAATTAACGGCACTTTGGGGGGCGGTGGGGGGGGGGTGAAGGCTTTTATACGAAGCTAGCAGAGCATGAAGACACACTCGCAGTGGAGCCACATGAAGGGACTCGCAACAAAAGCAAACGAAACCACACAAGGACCAATAACTGTGACAGGAAAAGACACAATAACCACTGCCAGATTCAATCAAATCCACCTCTGTGAGTCACGTGACCTCGAGTATCTGTCACTGTGACATCTCAGAAACACCAGGAGGTGTCACTTTTTTGCTGATGAAGACAAAAAGATGCACATTTTGAACTCAAAAATGTTTTCTCTCTGCCTTTTACACACTATATCCAGATCTGTCTCTAAATGAAAACGACTGGAGGATCATGAAAAAGCCTTTCACAGAGGCCAACATTCGACCCTAAAGAATCCGCAACGGTTCCTACCTGCGGTTCTCACTCTTTTGTGAGAGAAAAATTCCACCTATTTTCGGTCTAACACACTCTGACGGTTGTGGAACACCTCACAATACATTAGTGCTTTTGACCCCCGATGACCTCCACCGCTACGACGACCCTCCCGATCGGAGGTCAAAGGTCGAAGGCGAAGGCCGACAGTGTCAAACTCCAGGCTCCACGTCTACTGAGACTCACTAAGTGGTCGGACGTGGACGGAGTCTGCGGGACGGACAGCCTCTGTTTGTCTTCCACTTTGGCTGCCTCTCTTTCTCACGCACACGAGTGTGTGTCATCCTCACGATCTTCTGCAAAAAACACACTAACACACACATGCACTTTGCACTTCCCCAGGAGCACTGACCCATTTCTCTCAGCGCACGTCTAAACGGTCAACCCGCTCAAACTGGGCTCAACAAACGCACAAAACGTTTTTACGTGGAAATCTGCCGGGTTCTCTCTAAAATTTACCCACGTTTTATTTAGTCCTTTAAAAATAGACAGGACCAAGCTGACGACAAACTGTTGTGGGTCAAATACGTGCTTTCCCTAAAGGCTTTGTTATGGCTTCTATCCAAGCCTGTGAAGGAAGAGGAAGGGATTTGTGCGATAGTGGACATGGGCGATGAAAGTCCTGATAGCTCTGGGAGCGAGGGAGGGAGAGAAGAGGAGTTTGTAGCCTCTAATCCTTGAATGAGTCTGGAATGTTTCAGGGAGTGTGGGAAATGATGTGTACCAGTTTATTTCATTCACATTTCTCTGCTCAGTCCAGCGGTTTCCACCTTCCCCCAAACTCCAGACCAAACCCATCGTTACAGACTTTCTGTAACTGTGAAGAACCATGACATGGTTTTTTGATTCAAATTTGAAATTTCTCTTTCTCCATATATATTTTTTTTTTTTTTTCAAATTTGCCAACATCTGTCTTCGGTCTCGGCTTCGGCAAAGAACATCTTGCAGGTAGAAGGCAAAGGAACGCGTGCAGATTCCAAATCAGTTCCGACCATGTTCTAGACCTCAGCTATATTTAAATTTCTTCCTTTATCTCTCTGTGGGGACATGGAGTATTTAATGGTGAAGGAAGTAATCCCAGAGGGATTTCTCCATTTCTAAATAGCCTCTGTTCTACCCTCCAACTCCAGTAGGGAACCTTCTGGGGAAACTTCTCTGAAAACTAAACTTATCTTAACCTTTAAAACCATCTGCGTCAATCAATGAGAACAACCAAAAAATACAAAAAAAGGATTACAGAGAAAAGTGCTAAAAATAATGCACATGTGGAAAATCTCACCGAGCAGGCTGCCCTAAAAGCAACATTTGTGCAGCGGCCTCCACAGTCACTGTGTTTAGACATTACCTGGATGTGCTTCTGGATCTGGTAAGTGCTTTGCTGATGACCAGCGATGGAGCCGACTGTCGTCTGTGGGCCAGGGTCTTCATCTTCTGCACCATTAGACGACGAGAAAAAAAGAACGAAAAAAAATAATTAGTAAGGGTTCGATGTTGTTCATGCATGTTGAAACTTGCAGGTCACATGACCTGATGTCGACTCCTAAAAAATGACCCACGCTTAGATGTGTTGTGACTTTTAGTGGGGTGCAGCCCATGTGGTCTAGGCTCTTGTTTTCCAACTTCCTAAATTGAACAGCAGTTTCCCGCCAAAAATCACTCTTTTTTCAGGTGCTGCTTTTTACCAGAATTTCGCTGAACAACCACAGAATAGAATAGACGGAGAAGCAGACAGATTTAAAAGCACTGAATCAGCAGTTCATAGCTGCAGGAAATGCAGACAGACAGAAAATCTAGGAAAAGGCGAAGTGACAGCGACAGTGGTGAAGTACCAAAAAAAAAAAAAAAAAAAAAAAAAGAGGAAGTGAGTTAAAAGGTTAAGCAGAACAAATGCATTCACTGTGAATTCTGACTGAAACACAGTGGACATCCATGGGGTCACTGTCGCCCCCCCACCCACCCCGCCCCCCGGGCACTGTCCACCTTATCTATAAACAACATAGCGAAAGCATGTGAGCTGTAAACACCCACATTCCACACAAATACATTCCACACTTCAGTGGGAGAAAATATCACTGAATTATATACGTAAAGTACTTGTAGTACACACACAACTTATAACAAATGTTCATATTTTGATAAGCCAAAAATGTAGCTAATGACTCATGGATGTACTGCTTAAACGATATACAAGCCTCCAGTCACTAGGTGGCAGCAACTCATACAAGTGGTTTGTACAGATAAAAAAAAAAACATACCAGGTTTTCAAAAGTATTGCAAATTTGGAGTGGGGTGTGAAACCATTTCTGTCCCCTAGGGGGGGTATAACAGAAAATAAGTGAGAATCACTAGCCTCATCCAACTTCACGGAAAGAGACAAAACTACAGAATAAAGCAAATGTATATAACTTATAGCTAAACTTTGGGGGAAAAAATAGTTTTCTTTAACGAAGAAAAATTAACGGGAATTTGCCTTTGAGTTTTTAACACCAAAAAAAAAACAAAAAACATCTAGGGAAGATCTAAAGAAGAATTAAAGTCTTGTATTAAAAATGATGAATTGTTGCAAAATCCATAGAAAATCAACTCCATTTGACTGGAAGTGAGTCTTAGTCTGTCTGGGGATGACATCACTCAGCAGGGCTGGGCTAAGGGGTCGCTTTTGATAAGAAATTGTGGTCAACTTGAACTTGCAAACTCAGCAGTTTTGTGTCAACAATGGACGGTCAGTGAAGGACTTCTCAGAAGAAGAGTCACATTCCCAAGGGGAGACACATCATTTATGGGCTGAACGACAAGATTTATGAAGCGCGGCTGTGAGAGAATCCTTTGAAGGAGTCAAGAGGTGAAGCAACTTCACAGGTGACAACAGTCACGAAACGCCGCGAACGAACAAGCAACGAAGTCACGTATCACAGGACAGGGCTGACCAGATGGACCTGAATGAACTGCATGTCCATCGAATCACTGACAATGAGCTTCAAACAATTCAACACTTTTGGTTCTACCGCTAACGGCTAATGTTAGCCTCTTCTTTTATATCATTGTTTACACCTTATTGTATTATTTTTACCTATTGTTAGCTATGACGGCTATTTTTGAGTTAAGTTTGAGTTAAAAAATTATCAACTGTGATGTTGCCATGGTAACTCCCCAGCCACATTTTTGCTATCATTTAGCTAGCTTTTATATTTCTGCACTACATATTCTGTATTTAGATTTTTTTGGTTGGAATTTTTGGTCAACATTTAGTTGTTGTTAAAGTCATCAGGACAGTGTTTCTCAAAGTGTGGGGCAGGCCCAAGTGGCCCAAACTGTTGACTTGTTTGGTCCACGGTGTTAACGCAGAGTTTCCACATACCGGCGCAAGTCAACAGAGAGGCTTTTTATTTTTCAGAGGCTGTTAAAAGAGGTGCCACAGGAATCATGTAGAGCTGTGACAGGTACAGTCACAGTATGTACACTATGTTTCCTTCACGGCACAGGAATCCAATTCAAATTCCTCCGAAGGAAAATGTTGTCCAGCCACAGTCTGGAACATCACGGTTTTATGGTGAAGTGAATGTAGAAGAGATTTTAAATGCCCATGCGAAGAGCGGATCATCAGCGTTGTACGTGAATTCACACCGACTTCTTTTTGTACAAAACATTTACATTTGGCAATATTAAAGGGCTTAACATTTTTTAAACTTCCATTAACGGGGGTAAAATAAATTATGAACTTCTGTTTGGTTAGGGAGAAAAATCAGCATTCATGTAATCTAAGACACTGATCACAGTAATATGGACCAAATATATGTTTTGTGATCCTGAAGTGTCTCATTTCTGCAGGTCTGTGTTCTCTTTCTTTCAAGATGCAGCTGTGACATGCACTTTAACTAATTCGAGGGGGGCGCTGTTTACACACATTCTCATATCAGCTGCTGGAGGATTTCTCCTCCTCTCCGCAGCCAAAAAGATACAGACAAATTATATAAAAAATAATAATAACAGCAGCTAGTTTTGGTCTGCAACGAGTCACGGGGAATAAAACCAACATGGAGGAAATGATGAATGATGGATTCTGGTTGAAGCTGCTGCAGCAGTGAAGATGTCGAGAGCTTTAGACACAGCAGCGATGGCTCCGTCTGTCTGATTGACAATCAGCAGATTAGCAGATTATCATCTGCTCTTTGCTTTGCCTTCAGCTCGGACAACCTATTATTCAGCCCAGATAGATATTTATTCAGCATTTACGCAGACAAACAAGAGTCGTTTCACTTTGATCAAGTAAGGAACTGTGTAGAGATCAGACTGTAGAAACAGTTTACAATGAGAGGAAAAAAAAGTCTGGGAAATGTTGGAGATGTCAGGGGTCGTGGGGGGGTCTGTGGATTAATGTCAGGATTTAAAATATTGGGGTTTTACTTAAAAAAGACAGATTTAAATTCAGGAAAAAATTGCATTTTTTTTTTAGAAAAATACATCAGATTTTGTACAAAGATCATTGTATTTGTGCCCAAAAAAAATTTTGTACAAAGATCATTGTATTTGTGTCCAAAACAAAAGTAAATCTGGTCAAAAGTTATTACTGTCGGTAATATTTCAAACATAAAACCATATGAATTCGTGTCCGTAATTAAGTACAAAGATTTCCTCTGAGGTGAGTCTTGACCGGATCAGGTTTTTAAACAGATTGAACGAATTTACGAGACTGATATAAATGGGTTTAACAGTTAAACCAAATCAAAGGCGCTGCATGTTCTCTTAAAGGGTCACCCAGGTCTCACACCTGAAGGTTTTACTGAGATTTATCCTTCAAGGTCCGTGCGTTAAGACGCACGCACCCTGGCTCGGTCCCACTCTTCTCCACCCCATCCTCCTGCAGCTGCGGCGGCTAAAACCTGCTTCTTACCTTCTTGTTCTCGAGAAGAGTTTTCCTGTCTCCGCTCACAGACTCGGACCTGTTCTGTCCCATGGTCCCCTGCTGCGGTGACATGGTGTCCATTAAGGCTACAGCACAGATCCACGCCACCGAAAATATATTCCCATCACACGAATTATAGTCACGATAATATAAAAAAAAAATAAAAAAAATAAAAATAAAGTCCAGGCTTTATCCTGCTGACAGAGCGGCCCCGGAGTGATGAGGCTCCATGACGCAGAGCTGGGGACGGAGTTGAGCAACCGAGTTCAGTTGGCGTCCACGGATTTTCGCCTGAGCGTCTCTGACAGAGAGCTAGTTGTTCTGACAAACGCAGCTCCGCCGCTGCACAGCTCAGTCACAGGCTGTGAAGTTGGAGTAGGCAACACAAACAGCTTCCGGTAGGTTGTTTCACAATAAAACCAATCTACAGTGGAACGTTTGCATTACATGAAAATACTTTGAGAATCTGTAATATTTCGTTTCTATGCCAAAACACGCACGACTAAATTGCATTACGAGTGTTTGCAGACATAAGTGCAGTATTTTTACCAAAAATTATAGTAATTATAGGTTCTTGCAATCCCAGAAGCAGTGCCAAGAACTGTTGTTAAACGAGGAGCTATTTGTTATTCAACCACAAAAACTAAAAACAGAAAATAGAACAACAACAACTGACGACAAGCGACGGCAACTGCACGCACATCCAACGCCAAAAATTTGAAAGCTTGTGTCACAGGCTAGTGTGCATCTAGGAACTAATCTCTCTATATGTTATACTAAGATGCTACAAATGCAACATGTGCTGTTGTGTATTTATTCATTGTTTTAGTAGCAGAACTATTTCATAACATTCAGTAAGCAACGCGTTCTGTGTCAGTTTGCTGGGGTATCCGTTCTGACATCTTTTATTTTGAAAACCAGACGTGTTGCTTCTCTTTTCCTGCCCACCTCCAACTAATGAGCTCATAAAAACATTCTGTTGGTTTAACTCCCGGTCTCGTGTGCAGACCTACAAGTGTGACACTGTTTTCATTTAGAGTATATGTTTTTTCCGTGTCAAACCCTGTGCTGTTACAAAAGTGAAGTGTTCCGTGGTGGTTCATCTGAGCCCCTTAGACCAGAACCAGGCTTAAGGTTAGCTCCAGGTCCAGTTTCAGGTGTGAGAATGCGGTGCCGGAGCCAAGAAAAACATGACGGCGATGACAAGGAACGTCGGGGTAGGTGGGTAAATCACAGTAAAACACGTGGGACACATACAGACCCGTACAGTTACAGAGTCGGCTCAGTGTGGTGTTTACATTTAAATCGATAAAAAAAGAGAAAGTGAGTGAGAGAGAGAAAGAGACAGAGAGCGATGAAGGGAATACAATCACTATGTAAATAGGCTCATTTGGACCTTTTTTTTCGAAAAATAACTGTGTCTACGTGAATCTGGAAAAAACACGTGAGACGGTGCCTTGACGAGTAGTGTGGTACTGAGGGGCAGGTATTACTTCAGCAATAAGGTGTTGAGATGCGTAGGTCAACT